AGGCCGTCAGGGAGGGGGTGCGTATTTCTCACAACACTAAAGGCATTTTGAAAAGGAAAAAAAAAAAATCTAAGCCACTAACCCAGTTCATTTTTTTCACTGAACAAATTAGTTGTTTTAGGGTTGGAGCGATAATCCCAAATACCACTCAGCGTCCCAATAATGCTCTGAGAAGTGACATTTTGCCAGCAGTGTGACTCAGCCGGTGGGGACATCCGCTCGCACCCGTGAGCCCTGCACCGAAGCCCCAGCTCACTTAGGAGCCCAAGGGAACGGCCGGCTAGTGGGGAACAACTGCCACCGGCTCCCCGCTCACGGCAGTCACTTTAGTTCAGGGAGAAGCCCCCCCCCAAAGGGCGCTGGAGAGCCTCCTGCAAAGGGAGCCCATCTCCTGGGGACACCGGTCCTCACGCGATGGCCAAGGGCACAGGGGAGACCCGCAGGCCAGCCCCGGGGGCCCAACCACACCCCAAGTTCCGGCAACACCCTGGGTGGAACTTCGCAGGGTGGCTGAGACAGACTCAGACATCTTCCGTTTCCCGGCACCGGCAGGCTCAGCCCCCAGCTTGGAGTCCGGAGACACAGCGGGCCCCTCACCCGCACCCCAGTCCCGGCCCCACCTTTATCCTGCCTCCGCTGAGCTCCTCGCTGAGTCGCAGCCTGGCATCCACCACCCTTTTCAAGTCTCTCTGCAGCCGACGGCCAAAGTCCCTGAACATGGTCGAGCCTCCGGAAAGCACCACGTTCTAGGAGACAGAGCAGAGGGGTTCCCCGGGTGAGCCACCCGCCGCCCACACGGAGCTCCCGCGGGCCTGACGCCGCACCGCAGCCGGTGTGAAGGCCATCGGGGCGGCCACGTCACGCTGCCCAAGAGGCGGACGCCGCATTGTCTCCCGTGGACAAACGCTTCCTCTCGGCTCTACTCCTCAGTCATAACCCGGGGAAAACGAAAACCGATTCTGCCCCGGGGGGGGGGTCACTATGCACAATGGGGACCCTTGACAAGGACCAGGAGGGCGAGGCCACTGTATAAACCAACAAACTGACCGGTTATGAGAAAACCTATGGCCTAGTCACACTGGACCTTCCGCTCATTCTGCCTTAATAATGGCGGGGAAGCAGGTCGTCTTACACACCTGACCCACCAGAAGGGGGTGCCAGGGAGCAAGGTGTTTTCACGTGAGACGCCCTTGCTGCCCACGTCCCCTCTCTCCCCCTGAGACTCTGCTAAGTGGCCACAACAGAAGCCTGGGGAGCAAGGGAGGTGACGGGGGGGGGGTGTCATTAAATCTCCTACCAGATTTTGATGGAAAAGGCGTCTTCTTTCAGGCTACAGGATATTACTTAGCACAATGAAAGTGACATGAAGTCCATCCTGACTTCACTCTCTTACAGAAACTATCACCCGAGGAAACCGTGCAGAGGAAGTGAGGCCTGGCCCCACTCGCCCTGAGTCCCTCTCCTCCTGGGCACCTGCACTGGGCCTTTTGCTCATTTGTTTACTTCTGTGTGTTGTCCCCACAGGGGTGCAATGTCCATGGCGGCAGGGAGTCTTTGCTGGTCTGTCCCAGCTGAGCCCGCAGCGCCCACAACAATGACCAGCACACGGCAGGTTCCCACAAACACGCTCGATGAATCCGTGAGCTGGCGGCCCTCACGGCACCCACAGGCCACTGGGGATTCTGACGGGAAGTCTGCGGGCGCTGGAAGACCTGCTGACCTGCCCCGTGAGCATTTTAGCCAGAAAGCGCCTGCTCCACGCGGTCAGCGAGTTCTCAGATCAGAACTGGCACTGATCACACATGGCCCTGTGTCTGTCCCGGGAAAGGAAGAAACCTTGACCCAGCTAAAAAAATATCGAAAAACCTAAATCCAGAAAAAGAATTGGATCCTGAAACAGACAGGATGGAGCACAAAGTCCCATTAAAAGTATTTTTGAAGAATGTTAATTGCTTAAGAAAATGTTCACAACATGACACTATGTTGACACGCCAAATACAGAGTATAAATACAGCACAATGCATCTGCATTNTCAGACATCTTCCGTTTCCCGGCACCGGCAGGCTCAGCCCCCAGCTTGGAGTCCGGAGACACAGCGGGCCCCTCACCCGCACCCCAGTCCCGGCCCCACCTTTATCCTGCCTCCGCTGAGCTCCTCGCTGAGTCGCAGCCTGGCATCCACCACCCTTTTCAAGTCTCTCTGCAGCCGACGGCCAAAGTCCCTGAACATGGTCGAGCCTCCGGAAAGCACCACGTTCTAGGAGACAGAGCAGAGGGGTTCCCCGGGTGAGCCACCCGCCGCCCACACGGAGCTCCCGCGGGCCTGACGCCGCACCGCAGCCGGTGTGAAGGCCATCGGGGCGGCCACGTCACGCTGCCCAAGAGGCGGACGCCGCATTGTCTCCCGTGCCACAAACGCTTCCTCTCGGCTCTACTCCTCAGTCATAACCCGGGGAAAACGAAAACCGATTCTGCCCCGGGGGGGGGGTCACTATGCACAATGGGGACCCTTGACAAGGACCAGGAGGGCGAGGCCACTGTATAAACCAACAAACTGACCGGTTATGAGAAAACCTATGGCCTAGTCACACTGGACCTTCCGCTCATTCTGCCTTAATAATGGCGGGGAAGCAGGTCGTCTTACACACCTGACCCACCAGAAGGGGGTGCCAGGGAGCAAGGTGTTTTCACGTGAGACGCCCTTGCTGCCCACGTCCCCTCTCTCCCCCTGAGACTCTGCTAAGTGGCCACAACAGAAGCCTGGGGAGCAAGGGAGGTGACGGGGGGGGGGTGTCATTAAATCTCCTACCAGATTTTGATGGAAAAGGCGTCTTCTTTCAGGCTACAGGATATTACTTAGCACAATGAAAGTGACATGAAGTCCATCCTGACTTCACTCTCTTACAGAAACTATCACCCGAGGAAACCGTGCAGAGGAAGTGAGGCCTGGCCCCACTCGCCCTGAGTCCCTCTCCTCCTGGGCACCTGCACTGGGCCTTTTGCTCATTTGTTTACTTCTGTGTGTTGCCCCCACAGGGGTGCAATGTCCATGGCGGCAGGGAGTCTTTGCTGGTCTGTCCCAGCTGAGCCCGCAGCGCCCACAACAATGACCAGCACACGGCAGGTTCCCACAAACACGCTCGATGAATCCGTGAGCTGGCGGCCCTCACGGCACCCACAGGCCACTGGGGATTCTGACGGGAAGTCTGCGGGCGCTGGAAGACCTGCTGACCTGCCCCGTGAGCATTTTAGCCAGAAAGCGCCTGCTCCACGCGGTCAGCGAGTTCTCAGATCAGAACTGGCACTGATCACACATGGCCCTGTGTCTGTCCCGGGAAAGGAAGAAACCTTGACCCAGCTAAAAAAATATCGAAAAACCTAAATCCAGAAAAAGAATTGGATCCTGAAACAGACAGGATGGAGCACAAAGTCCCATTAAAAGTATTTTTGAAGAATGTTAATTGCTTAAGAAAATGTTCACAACATGACACTATGTTGACACGCCAAATACAGAGTATAAATACAGCACAATGCATCTGCATTTCAAACAACTAAAGAGAAAGAACAGCAAAGTCACAACCAAGAAGCAGTGATGACAGGAGAGACCAGTTTTCTTTATTGACGATTTGGTACTTCTCCAATTTTCTAAATGCATCTTAAGTTGGAAATAATACCCTTTGCTCATCTGTAGATTCTAAATTTTTTTAGGAAAATGTGTTTCGACAACACAGTGCTCTGACCTACTCAACTGCCGCGAGTCCTTCCGTACAGTTAGCGTGACTACACCATCTGCTCACGAGGTCCCTGTGTGCACTGTGTCTCTCAAGAGCCCTCAGCAATCACAGACACCTTCCTGTGCTGCACAAATGTTTACTTCAGGGTGTCACATGGAAGTCTCGGCTGAAAACTATCTCTCCAGAAGGAAGGATCCTGTCTGTGTGCCAGTAAAACCTCCCAGCTCCTACCATCAAACACACCACACACCTGTCAGTCACCGAAATTCAAGTCAGAAAGAGTCCGTGTTAGTAGTAAGCTCACTTAATTACCACCTGATATGGTATTAAAAATAACAACAATCCCCAATGCTGTCACCCTAAGTATGTTTGTACTGGAGGCTCTACACCAAATCCAGTTTCACGGATACACAGTGCCATCTACTGACCATCCTGGTGACGTTAACCAACTTCCTGGGCTCACTGCAGACACAGTGTCAACCGCCCACAGAGAAGTCTCCACCAGACCGGACCAACCACTCAGTACAGGTGAAGAAGACAGCTCGTCTGAAGCTCCAGGCAGCGATCCCTGTATTGTGTTGTGAAAGAATGTGCCCCTTTAGGGACAAGGGCTTTCGTACTCCAGAAATGAACCCAAAGACTGGGACCCCAGCAAAGCAAGAGCAACCCTGTTTCTAAGACGTGAGCTGTATTGTGTGGAGTCCTAGAGGAGATGCAAGATTGCAAGGCATGTGGCAGCTATGACAAAGAGAGTGTCTTAAAAGCAGTGAGAGAAAAGCAGTTCGTCACCTACAAGGGAGCTCCCGTAAGACTGTCAGCTGATTTCTCAACAGAAACTTTGCAGGCCAGAGGGGCTGACCGTCATTTAGAATCAAAGGACAGATAAAGAGCTTCCCAGGCAAGGAAAGGCTATAGGAGTCACCACCACCAAACCAGTACTACAGGAAAAGTTAAAGAGTCTTTAAGAAAGAGAAAAGACAGGATACATGAATAATTAAATGGCAATAAGTACATGTCTATCCACAATTACTTTAAATGCAAATAGAGTCAACGCTCCAATCAAAAGACATATGGCAGTTGAACAGACAAGAAAACAAGACCCTCAATGGGGAAATAAAGTGAGGGGGTAAAGGGATGGAAAAAGTATTTCATGAAAACGGAAACAAACAGCCCCAGCTGGTTTTGCTCAGTGGTTAGAGCGTCAGCCCCTGATCTGAAGGGTCCAGGATTCGATTCTGGCCAAGGGCATGTCCCTCGGTTGCAGGCTCCATCCCCAGCCCTGGTCGGAGGCAGGCAATCGATGTTTCTCTCTCTCTCTCTGAAAAGCAATGGAAAAAATATCCTCAGGTGAGAATTTAAAAAAAAAAAAAGAAAATTCCACTTCTGGGTATTGATCTGAAAAACCCCAAAACACTAAATTGAAAAGATATATACATCCGTATGTTATTTACAATAGTGTTATTTACAATAGCAAAGACACGAAAGACACCTGTGTCCGTCGATACACAGATGGATACATAAGCGGCCCATATATCCAATGGAATACGACTCAGCCATAAAAAAGAATGAAATCCTGCATCTGCAACAACACGGATGGACCTGGAGAGCATAATGCTGAGTGAAATGAGTCAGACAAAGACAAATGCCAGGCAATTTCACTTATATGTGGAATCTAAAGAACAAAATAGACAAAGCAGAACAGAAACAGACTCACGGAGACAGAGAACATTCTGACCGTTGTCAACAGGAGGGGTTTGGGGGGTGGAAGAAAAAGTGAAGGGATCAAGAAGCACAAACTGGTGGTTAGAGAAGTCACAGGGGTGTAAACCACAGCGTGAGGAGTGCAGTCCATAAAACTATGTACAGTGTCAGAACGTGGAACCACTGGGCTGGGCACCCGGAACGAATATAACACTGTATTCCAAGTTTCATTGAAAAGTAAAAAATTATTTAAAGTGGAAAAAAAAAAAAAGAAAAAGTAAAGCCACTGAAGACAGTTAAAGAATTGATATATCCAAAAGAAAGTTCAGCCTATGTATATACACACATACATGCAAACTACATTTTTACATAAAGTGAAACGCTATGTGCAAATCTCACAACCTGCTTTTTCAGCGACCAATAGGTACTGACATCTTTTCATCTGAATTTACACTGATTTACCTATTTCTTTTTAAAGGCCGCACAGGTGAAAAGCTGAGTCCCTCCCCCGTGAAACGCGGCTGCCTGAGGCTGGGCTGAGCGCAGGACCCCTGGCGCAGAGGTTAACCGAAGGCGGGGGAGGCTAACCGACCGTCCCTTTCCACTCTATAATTACCACGTAGCTATCATTAGAATTAGCATTTTCTCAAGTTTCAAGATTCCCTGCCATCGAAGAATTTTGGCAAAAAGTATTAGGTGAGCGTTTTTTATTTGACTGTTTCATTTCAGGCTCGGCCTTCCTCCGGCAACGCCGCATCAGCCCAATGGACCTAAACACGCGTCAAACAAAACCAGGGGAATTCGTGGAAGTCAGAGAGGACGCACCCCTTTCATCTTTCAAGCCACACGTATCGTTACAATTGTCCAAGTTAAAAGACAGCTTGCCGGATGACCGTAAAAGACACCAGAAGAGTTCAATTAAATCCTTCCAGCTTACTGAGTCATACTTCACACGTCTAAGGCACCCACACTCCAAGAAAAACATTTTGCCAACAGAGGGGCCTTTAACAAATACTGTGAGACAGAAGGGGACATGGGAGGGCCCGCGTGGAGACAGTCATAACCTCTCCCGAGGGCAGTGGGCCGACGACTGGGAGGAGCCCACAGCACCTCACCGGGCCCGCGGCTCCTACCTTGTAGAGCGGACGACGCACGTCGATGGGACAGTTCTGTATCACCTCATCGACGACGTCCGAGATGGACTCCACGAAATCCGGGTTGGCAAACTACATTGTACGTGAACACAGAAGAAACATTACACATTTCTCTCAGCAGGAAAGAACAAACACGTGCGTATTTTTAAATATGCCTTTATTGGTTTCAGGGAGAGGGAGAGAGAAACATCAGGGACGAGAGTCATTGATCGGCTGCCTCCCGCACGCTCCCCGCCGGGGGCCGAGCCTGCAACCCGGGCCTGGGCCCTGACCGGGAATCGAACCGCGACCTCCTGGTTCATAGGCCGATGCTCAAGCCCTGAGCCGCGCCAGCTGGGCAAGCACGCTTTTTAAAAAGTAACTTTAACAAATACAAACCGAGCGATGTGGTAAGTGAATCCCGCGTGACTGGGTGTGCGCAGACTGAGGACAACACACGTGCCCTCAAGAGACTAAAGGTGTGGTTTTCGTGAAGGAAAAATACGGAACAGTAACAGAGGCAGACCAGCCCTGCGTCCTGAATACAGCAAAGCCTGCTGCTGAGACTGGGGGAAGCACGCACGCGACGCGCGGGGAATGGTGAGAAACACCGTGTGGAATGAGCACGTCGCTCGTGAGCGCTGATGTGTGAAAAAATTACCCAGGATACAGGGAAAAACAGAGGCAACGAAAGGTCGCTGTACAGTGGCTTTATAATGTAATGACTGGCCCTGGCCAGTGTGGCCCAGTAGTTAGAGCCTGTAGACAGAAGGGTCCCGGGTTCGATTCCAGCCAAGGGCACGTACCTTTGGTTGCAGGCTCGATCCCCGTGCAGGACGCAACCAATCGATGTGTCTCTCTCACATCGATGTTTCTCTCTTTCTCTCTCTTTCTCTCCCCCCTTCCACTCTCTCTGAAAAACAATGGAAAAAATATCCACAGGTGAAGATAAAAAATTTTTTTAATAAATAAATAAATAAAATGTAATGACTGCCCTGGCTGGTGGGGCTCAGTTGGTCAGAGCGTCAGCCTGCGCACCCAAGGATCGCAGCTTCGATTCCCGGTCAGGGCACATGCCCGGGTTGCGGGTTCGATTCTGCGGGAGGCAACCAAGCAACGTTTCCCTCTCACGTCGATGTTTGCCTTTCTCTCTCCCTCTCCCTTCCTCTCTCTCTAGAATCAATGAAAATCATGTCCTTGGGTGAGAATTTAAAAAAAAACACACAATGTAACAACATGATAAGATTCCTGTTACTGAGGAAACATCTTTAGATTCAATTCCTTAAGTTAAATGAGCTGAAGCATAAATAATTCAAGAACATTGCATTGGAAACACGTTTTAAAAATCCAGGAAAGCGTTGACCTGCAATAGCGTTCGGGAGGAGGGGTCCCACCTCGCCGCTCACCCGCCGCGCCGTTCGCTGCACAGGGTCAGCGTTACGTCTGTTCCAAGTCAACGATACCAGGGGCCCGAGCGGACGGGTACAATATTATCAGGTTATAGTCACACACACGTGTTTGTGCCATTCCCGTGTCATATGCACATCTCAAAACAGGAGCCGCCCGGCCGGGCGCGGCTCAGCGGTGGAGCGTCGACCTGGGATCCAGGCGATCGGGGTTCGATTCCCGGTCGGGGCGCAGGCCCGGGTTGTGGGTTCGATTCCCGGTCAGGGCGCAGGCCCGGGTTGCGGGTTCGATTCCCGGTCGGGGCGCAGGCCCGGGCTGCGGGCTCGATCAGTGACTCTCTCATCATTGATGTTTCTCTCTCTCTCTCTCCCTCTCCTTTCCTCTCTCTGAAATCAATAAAGATATATTTTAAAAATAAATAAAATAAAAATAAAAACAGACAGCAGTTTGCAACCTGCCTGTTGAATACAAACTGAATCAGGCAGGAAAATATACCAAAATGTTTTTAAAATGCATTTTATTTAAACCGTAGAATGCTTCCCCTGAATTACTGCTTCCAGCAACGTGATAATATGTGTGACTCCCGGCTAAAAGGACGGTAGGGGTGACCCTTACGGACAGTCCTCGGACACGAGCTTTAACCGAGTGGCAGCAGGGACACGGCCGGCAGGTGCCCTGGGCAGAAACCGGGATCAGGTGGCCCTGAGAGTAACTCGGTTCCCTGTCAGCCTGCGATTCCTTTCACGTCCACCATCTCCCGTCGCTCTTCAAGCTTCCTCCGAAGCCTCGCGGCAGAACCGAGTGTTAACTATTTACAGACGGTCACGTCCACGGAGAGCAAAACTGGGAGGGATCGTTACGCTGGG